ATAAATGTAACTACTCCTTAACATTTAAGCAAGAGCTGGGGGATGCCCCCAGTAGAAACAAGGTGCTGGCCAGATAAAACAAAATGGAGGGCCGGATTTGGCCCAAGGGTCTTGTTTTCCACTTCTGTCCTAGGACGTTTTCCTGATCTTATGAGTCAATATATGGAAAGCTGATAAAGCAGTACCCAGAGTCCAGTGAGCACTTGAAATATGTTAGCTGCTAATATCATCATCTGACATCATAAATTAATAGATCCTGCCTAATTGCTTTTGTTTATCAACATCTGTAGGGTTTTCCTTCAATACTGAAGGGCTCTTGTGTAAAGGAAAATTTTCATTTTATATACTTAATATACTAAATGTAACATTTAAATTATATTTATATCTTATATGTGTGTACTATTTATTTTGGGAATTCATAGCCTGCCTATTATTTTTATTATTGTTATTATTATTACTACTACTAGAAACAGAATTATTCTTTAAAAGTACACACCAGGAAGGCTTTAGTTTAGATATTAGAGCTAACTATATTTATGACAGCCATGAAGCACCAAAACATGTACAAAGAAAGCTATAATCTTCTAATATTAATACAAAAGGAAAAGAAATACTGTTTTAAAAATAATTTATTACGTTATTGTTGACATGTAAAAAGCTGTGCATATTTGCTGTATACAACTCAGTAAGCTCGAGGGTAACTACATACCTATAAAACCATCACCCCCATCAACATATCTGTCACCTTCCAAAATTTCCTCCTGCCCTCATTATTATTGCTTTTGTGTGAGTGTTAAGAGCATTTACCATAACATCTACCCTCTTAGCACATTTTATTTATTTATTTATTTATTTATATTTCTTGTTTTTATTGTTGTTCAAGTACAGTTGTCTCCATTCCCCCCTCACCCCACATTTTAAATCTACAGTATAGTACTGTTAGCTATAGAGTCTATGCTGCAGAATATATCTCCAGAACTTATTTATTACTTGAATAAATGAAACTTTGTATCCTTGACCATCACCTCCCATATTCCCTTTAACCCTTCCCCTGTCCCAGCCCCTGGAAACCACTGTTCTACTCTCTTCCTCTCCAAGTTTGACTATCTTATATTTCACATATAAGTGAGATCATACAATGTTTATCTTTCTGTATCTGGCTTATTTCACTTGCCATAATACACACCAGGTCCATCCACATTGCAGCAAATGGCAGGATTTTCTTCTTTTCTAAGGCTGAATAATGTCTGATTATTATATACATCATATTTTTTGTTCATTCATCCATCAATGGATATTTAGGTTGTTTCCATGTTTAGCTGTTGTGAATAATGCAGCAATGAACGTAAAAATAAAGGTATCTTTTGAAATTCTGACTTCCGTTCCTTTGGATAAATACCCAGAAGTGGGATTGCTATATCATGTGGTAGTTCTGCTTTTACTTTCTTGAGAAACTCCATACTGTTTTCTTAAAATGCCTGCACCAATTTACAATCCCATTAATAGTGCAAAAGTGTTTTCATTTCTCTACATCCTCGCCAACACTTCTTATTTTTTTCAATAAAAACCAATTTAGCAGGTACAAGGTGTTATATCATTGTGGTTTGATTTGTATTTCCCCTGTGATTAATGATGTTGAGCATATCTTCATAAACCTTTGGAAATTTATATGTTGTCTTGGGAGAAATGTCTATTTAGGTTATTTGCCCATTTTTAAATAAGGTTATTTTATTTTCTGCTATTGAGTTGTATTAGTTCCTTGTATATCTTAGATATAAACCCCTTTTTAAATATATGGTTTGCAAATACTTTCTTCTATTCTGTAGGTTGCCTTTTCATTTTGTTGATTGTGTTTGTCCTTTGCAGAAGCATTTTTGGTTTTATTACTTTGATGTAATCTCAATTTTTGTTGTTGTTGCTTGTGCTTTTGGTGTCATATCCTCAAAAATCATCACTGGAACCAATATCAAGTAGCTTTTCCTGCATGTTTTCTGTCAGGAGATTCATGGTTTCAGGTTTTAAATTTAGATTTTTAATCCATTTTTAGTTGAATTATGGGTCTGTTATAAGATAAAGGTCCAATTTCATTCTTTTGTATGCAACTATCAGTACTCCTAGCATCATTTAATGAAGAGACTGTCTTTTCTCTACTTTGTATTCTTGGCAAACTTATTGGAGATTACTTAACCATATTTTTATGAATTATCCAATTTTCTGCCTCATACTGATTTTTCTTTTCATGTGGTTTTCATATGGTCAAAAGAAATACACTGATATGATTTAAATCTTCTTAAATGTATTAAGACTTGCTTTGTGGTCGAATGTATGATCTACTCTGGATCCATGTGTGCTTGAGAAGTATGTATATTCTGCTGCTCTTGAATGGAATTTTTTATATATGTGTTATGCTTATTTTATTTATAGTGTTCAAATCTGCTTTTTTCTTACTGACCATTCTATTTGGATTACCTATTCATTTTTGGAAGTGGGGTACTGAAGACACCTACTATCAATATTGTTGCCTATAGCTCCCTTCAGTTCTGTTAATATTTTCTTTATATGTTTAGGTGCTCTGATTTGGAGTGCATACATATTTATAATTGTTATATCCTCTTGAGGAATTAAAACATTTGTAATTATATAATGAATTTCTTTGCCTCTTGCAATAGTTTTTAACTTAAAATGTCTTGTCTAATGTAATTATAGCTTCTCCTGCTTTCCTTTGCTTACCATTTTGCGCAGATTATCTTTGTCTGTCTATTTATTTTTAGACTATGCATGTCCTTAAAGCTAAAGATGCACTCTCCTTTCTGAAACAGAACATTTTATAAAAATGGTATGCTGGACTTGAGTTTTCTTGATGATTGCCTCAGTACTTCCCTTTCTCTTTTTGGTATAAATTAAGCTTCATTGACATTTCTGGAGTATATTTCCATGCTATAATTAGTTTCCAAATTCTTGAAAAAGTACCTGTAGCCATAGTTAATTATTTCTCCCATTTATCAAATATTTTAGAGCTTCTACTACATGCTGGACAATTTGTTCAAGAGAAAGCTGATCCTTAGAGTCAAAAAAATGTATCCAAGTTAAACATCAGCCCTTATGGTGCTTTGCTTATCTTAGCAGATATTCCTTCATAGTAATCACTGTATGACTACACTAGTACAGTTCATATTTTTAAGGGTTTCCATGTGGTATTCATGTGTTCATTTATTTCACAATTTATTCTTCATAAGCACCAAATGTCTCTGCCACCCTATGTAGTAGGGATTAAATATTGAATATGGCAGTCTGGATACCTGTCTTAGAGTAGTTTACATTCTGGATGGAGAGAAAAGCATTAAGAAAGGTAACAAGTTATTACAGAAGAGCTTCTGTCATGACATAATGATAAAAGTAGGATGAGTATAATATAAAGATAATATAATTTGCAGCATAAGAGACTATTCACATGGATCGATTTCTATATAAATGTCTCTGAAGTGATATTTAAGCTGAGGTCAACAGCAAAAAAGAAAATATGTTGCAATATAGAAAAGTTAAGCAGAAAAAACAACAAAAAAAAATTCTCTACCTTTGAGGAAGCCAGATTCAATAGACAAGTAAAACTCAGAGTAAAATATATTTTTAAAATTTTAACTGCTTTTTATTAGCAATGTATAAGAAAAATAATTCTGAATACTTTATATATAGCCTACACCCAAGCCATATATATACCAAGTTGGTTTCCCAAATGTTATTGCAAAATAAAAACTATAATATTTTGAGATATTTCTTTTTAAAACAGTATTTTTATTTTTAATTACAGTTTACTTTCAGTATTATTTTATATTGGTTTCAGGTATACATCATAGTGGCTAGACAATCATATCAGGGTGAAATATTTTTTAACATCAGATTTTTGCAATGTCAGAGAAAATATTTTCATTATAGAAATTACACTCAATATTGCTCACGATTACTTTATCTCTAAGGAAGGATTAGGACAAAAGGAGTTATACCTGTTCTGTGCTCAATAACTGCTCAGAGGCAGGAAGAAAAAATGTGGGCTGGTTGTTGCTTGGGGAAAATGGGGAGCTGTGGAGGGTTGGGCAGATCCCCAGTGAAAATATTATCAAAGGTACTTATCCTGGGTCTCTGCTCTTTTGGTCTCTGTTGTTCTAATAATAATATGACTCCAAAGAGAGGAGCAGAGCAAATAAAGCAGTTTTCTAAGTAATCATATACAAATATTTATTTTACCTGTTATGTCATTAATGTTTGGTAAAAATGAAAAGTGTGTCTGATTTTTTAATTTCCTTGATAATGATGATTCTTTTCTTTCTTCTCCTCCCCCTTCCTTCTTCTGATGTTTCTTTTCCTCCTCCACCTTTTTCTCCTCCTCCAAAAGTTGTTCACATTTCAGCCATGTCCTTAATCACAAGAGTCACTATTTATTCCACTAAATCACAATACCTGGATCATATTTAGACAAATTTTATGTAAATTTTTACTGACCTTCATAATGGTTTTTTGTAAACCAGTTAATGTTTTAGGACAAATTGGCTTTTGTTCATTTAAATGGCTAGATGTGCAATGTTTAGTCATTAATACTAATAAATACTAGCTTTTATTGCCAGAACTTTGGGTCTGGGAGAATTGTTAATAAATATAAATGTAAATAAGTGCTTATGCTATAAATTAACAATTTAGCTGTTCTGAAAATCATCAATATGAAACCAGTATCCACAGCTAGATAATTCATATTGATAGCTAATTTAATTTATTCTGTAGTTTAGTGTATGTTACCAATAAATGGTGACGTTCTAGGTTCATTGTTCCATGCAGAAAGATAGGATGGTTAATAATACACATGGCTTTCATTCCAGTTAGGTAGTGTGCTTCAAGTAATATCATCACACTATAATTGTACCTGTGCAATCAAAAGTATTTAAACACTTTGTATCCATGGTGATAATAAGTTTTTTGTATTTTGTTTTGCTTTTGTTCACCTCTTGCAGACATAGATGTCATCGAGTGCTCCTTGCAGTTCCCAGATGATGATTATTCCTGGTGGGACCTCTTCATGAAAATCTGCGTCTTTGTATTTGCCTTTGTCATCCCCGTCATCATCATCATCATCTGCTACACGCTGATGATCCTGCGCTTAAAGAGCGTCCGACTCCTTTCTGGCTCCCGAGAGAAAGATCGCAACCTCCGTCGAATTACCAGGCTTGTCCTGGTGGTGGTGGCAGTCTTTATCATCTGCTGGACTCCCATTCATATTTTCATCCTTGTGGAGGCTCTGGGGAGCACCTCCCACAGCACCGCTGCCCTCTCCAGCTATTATTTCTGCATTGCCCTAGGTTACACCAACAGCAGCCTAAACCCCATTCTCTATGCTTTTCTTGATGAAAATTTCAAGAGGTGTTTCAGGGACTTCTGCTTTCCAATAAAGATGAGGATGGAGCGACAGAACACTAGTAGAGTCAGAAATACGATTCAGGATCCTGCTTACCTGAGGGATGTTGATGGGATAAATAAACCAGTATGACTAGTCGTGGAGATGTCTTCTTATAGTTCTCTAGGAAGAGAAGAGTTCAATGATCTAGGTTTAACTCAGATTACTACTGCAGTCTGATATGGAAAAGTAGAATTTCTAACAAACTTTCAGAAATCTCATGGGCTGAAGTTGTAAATGAGGCTGCTTTATCCACCCAGGTCAGTGGAAGCATCAAGGCTGAAGGATTGAGTACAAAGGTTCAAGAAAGCAAATACCACTCCTCTCTAGCACAGGGGAAGCAAGGCTGGCTCCCAGTTCCTTTGATGAACAAGAAACAAGCCTTTTTCTTTTAGTTACCTATACTTAGTTCAGGACTTAGCTGCTGTGGCCTTCCAATGCAATATCATTTCAAAAGCTCTGTTTGAAAAACAAACAAACAAACACTGGTTTCAGAGCTTGGGCATACAATTCAGATGTTTAACATTGACAATATCAACCTCAGTAAGAATGCCAACATTACCAGGACCCATTCCACTTGCTTTGTACTATGTGGACATGCATTTCATGTGGCTGTGTGGTGAGGATTCTACCTTAAGAATGATGTGGACCAACACCTGAAGTGTCTAATGTTCATATACAGTAGAAAAATATCTTGGTATTTAAACATGCAAAAGATGGTTTTCAACATAGTTTAATTTCTTGAAAAACTATACTTTTAGCATGCTATTCAGATAAGTAATCTCATGATAAAGCATGTGCTGCTGTTAAGGAACATAAAGTGGTTTAAATACTACCAAAAGTATATATATTTCATCTGTAAATAATTGTATATATGTAAAGAAGGGTGGATTTGCCTTCCAGCCCAGCAGTTTCTTGAGGGCATGTTAATAATATCCTGAGTTATCTAGAGTTGATGCTGAGGCATTTTGTTGCAATGTAAGCTTCTCTCTGGAAATCAACAGCACCAACTTTTTCCAACTACCTGAACACCAATGAGTCCTTTAATAGTGTTCATAACTTCTGTGTTAATTAATCACAAAATACTTAACTCACAACTAGGTGGTGGCCTGGTTGCAGAATCTAGTTTATATGCAACATCTCTTTATGAATACATAGATATTACCATATTCTTTGTTTTCATGAAGGGAGAGCATTTTGCTCATTAAATCTCAAGATATTTTGTGGCTTTCAATAAACAGTAAGAGTGCTCCTAACTAAGCTGAATGAGGACATCATGTCACTTGTGGTGCTCGTGCATACCTTGCACTGTACTTGAGAGGAAAGTGCTGTGAGCATCACATTTAGGGTGATTTTGCTGAAACTTCCAGATGATATATTAATTCCCCCTTTCATTTTCCTCCTCAGGTTTCATAGATAATGGCTTTTTCTGTAATTTGCCTGGGCAGGAAAAAGGGATAACATAAAAACAACACCCATCTTTTCTTTAGCCTATATGTTGTGTTATTAGGACAGCACCCTCTGAAATTTAGTTGGAAAGTCAAAAGTGTATACAGGCTTTACAAAGACATATAAATGTAGACCTATATAACTGTAAGTTCTGTTCACTGTGTGTTGTCTCTTATGTATATGCTCTCTCCTTTTGGATTGAAGGTGGCTTCAGAATTTTAGTATGATGGTGTTTCTCAATTAGTTTGTCAATTTCCGATTTTCATGGAACCTGATACAGATGCCTAATGACAGTGAAGTGGGGTGTTTCAAGATGAAAACATAGAGCTCTTTTGAGCATTTCTTAAATTTTATTCATTTTTCTTAGGTGTCCTTGTAGTTTTATAAATGAACATAGATAGAAATGACTTAAATGCTGGTTAACATTCACCCCATGGTTAAAAATCTTGGCTATCATAGAGGAAGGATATCTACAAAGCAAGTAGTTCCAGAAATAAATCCTACTGAAGTTGGAAATATAGAAGCATTTTTACAATGGTAAAACCTAGGAGATTTTCTTTTTTCTTTTTTTAAGATTTTATTTATTTATTTTTAGAGAGAAGGGAAGGAGAAAGAGAGGGAGAGAAACATCAATTCATGGTTGCCTCTCATGTGCCCCCTACTGGGGACCTGGCCCACAACCCAGGCATGTGCCCTCACTAGGGATCAAACCAGCAACCCTTTTATTCACAGGCTGGCACTCAATCCACTGAGCTGCACCAGCTAGGGATGAGGAGATTTTCTTGAAGGATTTTTATATAGTGCAAAACTTTAACAGAGATGAAATAATGAAACAAACTTAGAGTAATGTGTTTTCTTTAAATTAGTACCCACATTCCTTCATAGCATCAATTGCTGTTTTTGGACCCTGTGCTTTAGCCTGCTTATCCTCCACATCTTCATATCTAAGTTTACAGCCCAGGGAGAGGGAAGTAGCTCTAAGTGTCCATGAGGGGTGTTATAAGCTTCCCCATTATTGTTAACACCAATTTTCCCAAATTCAAAGAGGAGGGAGAAGAGCTATGTCATTTTAGGGCACTGTATTAAAGAAAAAGTGAATCATGTATGAGTATGTTAGGAAAAATACCACTTACACAAATATGTTTTTTTGTTAATAGTGGCTATATGCATAAGACTGTGTTTTCATTCATATGTGCGAGAGTGGGTATGTGTAGAAGTGTGTGGTGGTATGTGTATGCATGGATGTGTGAGAGTATGTGTGCATGTCTCTCTGTGTGTATACTGTTGTGAAGCTATTGTCATATTGCAGTTCCTTAATCATTCCATATAATACATTTGTCCAAGCCCAAATATCTCTCAGTTATCTCTTTTCACTTAATGCTCCTGTTCTCCCATCACAGAAAGGAGAGAACTTCTCACTTATCTCTTTGAGAGTGGACTGCGTGTATCCTAGAAATTGTCTCTCTATATGAACTCTTCCAACCTGGGTAACAACTTTGGGAAGAGTCTAGTGAGGGATCAGATAAAATTCAGAGAAATGAAACAGACATGTAAGAGGCAGGTGCAAAACCATAATTCTAACTGGGAGGAGAGTATTAGTGTCTCAGATTACTTTTAGGAACCTAGGAGCACCCACTATGTGAAGAGTTTAAATAAAAACTCCAGACCCTATACTAAAAATAGAAGCATAGTTTGGAAAAATAGTTTGGAAAAAAGCAAGAAACATTCACACAAGTCTTCAGGAAATAGCTCCATTCTATTATGTATTACTGAGAAATAAGAATGTTCAAATTTGTATAACCATTATCAGACAATTAATAGGTGTTTCATATATTGTATGGACATAGTAAGATGAGTTAATGAAATAAAAGAAATACATTGGCTGGCTTTAAATTAGAGATTTTTAAGGAGAAAACTGTGACAAGTTTGTATGTCCATTCAATGAGATTTATTTTCTAAGCAAGAGCTGTTTGCAAGATTTAGCATAAATATGAAAACATCATCCCTAAGGCAACTTTATTTTCTGAAATAAAAGTATATTTGTATATACTTTATTATAGTGTTTATTATTTATATCTTGTATTTTTAGATGATAATTATGCATTGTATATATGATTGTGTGCCTTGTGATAAAATAAAAATTGTACTGCTAAAAATCAAAGCAGAGGATTAATGTGGTAAATAATTTATTATTTAATGCCTGAAATGATGCTGTACTTAAGCAAGAATAATGTTAATTGTTTCTTAAAACTGTAAAGATTTCTTTAACTTTCCATTAATAACAATTCTTTGGATGATTGATGGAAAGAGCAAAACATGTAGAGATCAAAACTATGATGTTAAATGTCCAAACCTATAAGTTTCTTAGGAAAATTTACCTGTTTTCACAGCAATGCTGTCAAGATCCCAGAAGCAACATTTCATAACTACCCTCTATGAAAAACTACATATTCACTATGAAAATATGCAAAAATCAAAATCAAACTCTCATACCAATAACTACATAAACTCAACCTAGAAACACATGCAGCCTTTTGCTCTGCTCCTAATACTATATAAGCACATCACTGCCATAAATTATCTGTTTCTAAACCTTATGGTATTTGTATACACAAAGAGTAATGTAAAAAGCAGTATCCACAGCATCACTATGGAGTGAAAACACTCTATTATTTCTCTCCTTAAATTTACAAGTCAGGCAGTTATAACTCAACAAAGGATAATCTGTTCACCATACAAACACACCAAAAGATTCACATATCCATACATCTGAAGATGGGAATACTGGAACAAGTACAAGATGATCCCCTAATACTCCTCCCATCCATCTGAAAACCATCCCTTTGTTCTCTGTATCTCTGAATCTTTTTCTGTTTTTTTTGCTAATTTTCTTTTTTATATTTCACATATAAGTGAGATAATGTGGCATTTTTTCTCTTTCTAAATTGTTTCAGTTTGCACAATACCCTCCATGTTCATTCATGATGATTAAAATGGTATGACTTCATTGTTTATGGCTAAGTAATATTTCATTATATATATGTAACATATCTTTTTTATTCAGTTTTCTATAGCTGGATACATAGGTTGCTTTCATATCTTGGCTATTGTAAATAATGCTGCAATGGCTATAGTAATCAAAACAGCATGGTACTGACATAAAAACACATAGATCAGTGGAACAGAATAGACATGAAAGAAGTAAACCCCACCTAAATGGTCTATTAATCTGTGACAAAGGAAGGAAGAACAACAGTAGGATAAAACCACCATCCTCAATAAAAGATGTTAGGAAAACTGAACAGGTACATGCAAAAATGAAACTAGACCACTCTTGTACACAATATATAGAATAAACCTAAACAGGCAGTAAACTCTGTTACATTGATTTTAGTAATATTTTTTGGATATATCTTTTCAGGCAAGGAAAACAACAAAAAAAAATAAACAGATGGGACCACATCAGACTAAAAAGTATTTGCATAGCAAAGAAAACCATCAAAAAAATGAAGAACATACTTCCTGATTGGGTAAGCTATTAACCAATTATACATCCAATAAGGGGTTAATATCCAAAATTTATAAAGAAGTCATGCAACTTAGTACCAAAAAAACTAAAAATCCAGTTAAAAATGAGCAGAGAA